AAAAATACTGATGCTACAAAAGAATAAAAACGATGTGAAGTTGTAAGACGAAAGTCAAATATTACTTTTATTATCGGAGATGATGTTGTTAATGACTGTGAAACCGAGAGAAATATACCGAAATCCAAGACAATATTCAAGAAGAAAAAATACAAAAATAATTGTCATAATGTAAAGAATCTTGATGAAGATGTATGAAATCGGAATAAAATATCGGTTTTGATAGTAGAATTTTTGATGAAAATGATAAGAACGTTTGGATGAGCTACAATGACATTTTACATGAAAATGGTGTGTTCTACTATAAAAGGATACTAGAAGGAAATACTGACTCTAAATTATTTAATCGTTTACGAAACAGTTGATCGAAATTCCAATGTAAACGATGATAACGACGAGTTGTTTGTAACCCATTAGCTAGTTCTTTGATGTAAGTTGTTCGTTCGCACCCAGTTGCTTCTTTAGCTGCTGCTATATGTGCTGCAACTCGTTTTAATTTATAGCCGGAGCTACCCAATATAGCTCTCCACACGTGACCCGGTATGGATAATACGAATGCTGTTATAATTAAAGTTTCGACTGTGAATTGATAAAAGCTTCTAAAATATATTCACGAATGTTGAATAAATAAAAATCAAGTGAAACGACAAACGTGGAAATTTTAAGACGATTATTTCCAACAATTTGAACAGGACCACGTTCCTTGTCATTAAGCCAACATAATGTATCTATCCAATGTTGAGTAATTGCACTTGGCAATTCCGTTGTTGAACATGATATTGGAATTCCAAAATATCTGTTCGATGCAATAACTACAGATCCTAATAATATGTATTAAAAGTGTATTTATGACGTATATAAATACTGATTTTTGGTCTTACCAACAAGAATGATAAATATTGTTGTCTTTCTAATAATTCGATCGACTTTATCATCCATTCCAAACGACATAGAGGAGAATTTTGCATGAATACTTTCAAGTAGTAGATAAATCATTTCTTAAGTAAAAAAAAATAATACAATCAAAATCCCAGTAAAAAACTTATATTTACTTTTATTCGAATGAAGATAAATACCAAATTAACTTGAACAAATCGATATGGATAGATCTATGAAGAAAAGAACGATATTGTCTTAAATACATTTCAAATTAAATATTCTACCAGAATGCTCCTATTCTTGTATTACGATTGTTGGTACATAAATAGAAAGAGCCTATGGTCTTCCTCAATTTGTCTTGTTTATTTTAGTTCATATATCTCTGATATTCATGTGTGAAGAAATTAAAAATGACCTGAATTAATTTTCTTTTTATACACTTCATTTACGGGATGATTTATGTTCTACCTATGAACTCTGTTTACATCAAATATTATCTTATATACTGATATCCTGTTTTCATGGCAAAGTATACTAAGATGAGTAGCTTATTCTTATCTTCCCACTGTTAGCTGTCATATAGTTCGATGGTTGATATATATATATGAAAAAATGTATATAAAGTTTAAATAAATATGCCTTAGATTAATTTTTTATCAATCGGTGATAACATTTTAAAATGAATAAGAAAATAATACACACCGTTTTTAACATTATATTTTATTATGAAGGTGTTATGCACATATAACATCTTCATAATAAAATATAGTGACAAAAAGCGATATCTATTATTCTCTTATTCATACTATATATATATATAACATTCTGTTGTTAACTTATACAAAGTTAAAGTATAGTTAAAATATTAAAAGGAAACATTTTTCAACCATTTTATTATAACATTGTACAACAAATACATTAAACTGAATTGTAAATGGAACAAAAGCGTACAATTAACCGAGGTAAGTTTGTAAGACTTCAAAAATATGATTTTACATTAATATATCTGATACGTTTTCTATCGTAGTTCACCAGTCGGGTGGATTCGACTTAATATCTTCACCAACCATTGTTGGTAAGAGTGAAGTTCGGCAAACAACATCAACAATAACTAATCCATTATTTCGTTTCGCTTCTCCAGTTCTACAGCGGCGACGTATAGATGAACCAGTAGTAAAAAGTACCAAAACTTATGATACATTACACTTTGATCAGCAAGAATTTTGTACGTCTTATCGTAGGCGCCGTATACGTAAGTGCTATATAGTACATATAAAATGTGTTCTTATGTGATTCCGTTCTAACATAGGTAAAGAAGCCAATTTACTAAATAAAAATAGAAATAAGTAAACTTTAATCTTGTTTTTCAATAGTAATTTATATTGTATTTTAAAGAGTAACTAATAATCAATTAAAAAACGGTTCAACACAAAAATCTATTGGAATAACTCCACCAAGTAAGACAAATATAGTTTACTATGTCAGAAAAAGATAAATATAGAAAACTATTTAGAGTTCAAATCGATAATAAGTTCCACAACGGTAAATAAAAATTGTCTTTCGATTTACAAAAACATGTTTCATACCAATTGTTGGCATAGATGACGCATCCAACAAAAGGACGTGGTCGACCAACAAAACGATCAATAGCAGCAGAAAAACTAGTTAAGACATTCAATACGTTGACAAAATTCCAAATTGATGCACTAGAAACCACAACATGGTCGACAAAGTCATCATATAGCACTCCAACTGTATGGAGTATCATGTGCGCAAAACTAACATTAAAGGATAATGAAAAAAATAAAAAATGGCTTGCACATATTTGGCAAACCAATATGTGGAATGTTGCTGCCGAAGTTCGTAAAGCGTCGACTGGTAAGAAACTAAATTTGTTGTAAATTTTTTTCATGCTCTCTGGTTATCAAGAAAACGAAAATCAATGTAAAGCGATTATGAATGATATTATCGAAGAACTCAACATGTTTCAATCTGAAGATGTGGCAATGGTGGAACAACTAGTAATCTAAAGCATATTTTAACAGCATTTTTATAGCTATATTTTTTCATTATAGATAATAAATAAAAACGATGTTGATTCTGAGAATGCACACACAAATGAAAGGATGCCTGAAGTGTCAGCAATCGTGGATGAGATGGAGGTGAACTTAATAATTCATATAGATATGTAGACAAACTAATACAACGTTTACATTCTAGATTAGTCCTGTAAAGAATCACATCTTATTGAATCAATCAGTGGGATCGAATATTGTAAAAAATTTAACTTCGGTATTCGAAATACAATCACAAATAGAAGAAATTTGTTTGAATACAGCGATATCGATAACGAATGATGGCGTAAATAATATTACATCATATGATTAAGTTACTATTTATTTGAATTTAATTTTAGACACAAGAAGATAATAATATGGAAACGTCTGAATTAGAAGATATTGAACCTAATCCAGACAAATGGAATTTGTTTCCATCTATTAATAACACTACCACATATGAGTATTCGGCGGTAATTTAATAATTGCTTTCAATAAGAGAATTAAATAATACGAAGTACAAAGCTACTTTCGGAATGTTCATGCTATTGAGGCATTTACAGTTTGAGTTCTGGCAGATTGTATATCAAGGATAGTGAATGATATTTTTAAATATTAGAAATAGAACATAGACAATATCTATTTTAAGAATATTAAAAAACGAATATCAAGAAAAATGATAATTCAAGTTTTCAATTTATTTTATTAAGACGTGTACAGCTAATATTGAATCAATTTATTTAGAAAAATCGAAGGTCACATATATATGCTTTTAGGTGACAGTGGATAACCAACAGAATATTGTTACGATCGACCAGAAGTCTATTCCAAATGTAAGTTTTTTTTATATCTTTTCAATTCTATAGAAAAATATTTTTTTTAAGATGAAAGATAGCCAAGAGCAACAAGAGCACATAAATGTTAAAGGTGATAAAAAGTGTGTACATAACATAGCTGAACGTGGTGCAACATCATTACCAATTGAGCATCGTGAACTCATTGATATGTTACTTGATCGACCATCGGTTTCTGGACGATATGAAGCCGATGTTCCATCGGATCCAGTAATATTAGAAATTGATAAATTGGATCTTTGTCATTTTAAAAGATTACTTGAAGAATCTAAAATTAAAAAAGATAAAACTTCTTCGAAAAAAGAATCGGCAAAGTCACGTGATATGGAATGGATCAATCTTTTTGAAAAATATGTATCACAAATAAACAGCAGTTGTGTTTTTATGTACACATATCATCATTTTTCAACCGCTAAATCAACAAAATCATCAAGTGAAAAACAATTTATCATGAGTGCTAACGCAGCATGTAAACATTCTAAATGTACGTGCTCGTATCATGCTGAGGTACATAGTAATGGTGAGATAACTTTTGAATTCAAAGGAAAAATATGTCACAGTCCATCGGAACAACGATCTCGTCCTTATCGTGGTAGCAATCGTCGTGCTATTGCAGAAAAATTAAATTATGGATCAAGTCCTGATCAAGTGCGACTAAAACAATTAGGTCTTTTAAGCGAAGATAATCGTAAATTTGGCAATTTCAATTTAGTTGGTTCAAGTCCTGATGTATTTCGAAAGATTCATAGTGAATCAAAAACTTCATTAATGCTTGATAAAGACTTACCAACTAGTCTGGAAAAAGTTAAAGAAAAATTAGCTAAAGACGTCCATCCCGGAAAAGATATTCCCGGTTATCTGCAAACAATTTCAATTGATCCACTTCGTCTTACTCTTTTTACAGTAGCAGGACTGTGTCTATGGAACTCAGTAGGCAGTAAAGTACCTGTTTCATGGGATGCTACAGGAGGGATAGTTATGAGTAGAGGAAAACGAATTTTCTACTATGAATTGACGATTGGTAATATTGCCAATCGATCAGTAACTAGAAAAAAATTGTCAGGACCTTCTTTTCCCGTCACTTCAATGCTATCAACTGCGCATACAACGATGGATCTTGTTCAATGGTTACAAGACTTCGAAAAAGGATATCGAAAGCTATATGGATTTAAGGCTCTATTTCCTAAACCACCTATCGTTCACTCTGATGGTGCACTAGTTTTTCAGATGGCTGCTCTTCGTTTCTTCAATGGTGATACAACACTTAGTATATATTTAAAACGTTGTTGGACTATTATTAATAAAACAGCGACAAATGAAGATTTAACGAAAACTATAATTCATTCATGTTTATCTCATTTTGTTAAAAGTGTCAAACGTCAAGCACTTAAAGAGTATACAAAAAAGAAGATAAGTATTTTATAGATTGTGCCTTATATATATATATATACCTTTTTTTTCTTTTATAAGTTCCATTTGCACTTTGGATAATATCGTTATTAGTAAATTCGAATACAGTTGAAGAAATGAGTGGTATTTGGGAACATATATGTACTGTTCTTCTTAGTCCTACGCAAAATGCATCATATTCTGTATCTATTTCATGCTTATCAAATGCAGCAGATAACATCAATAAAGATCCGAACAAGAATAATTTTGTTATTAAAAATGTTAATGTGGATTCTGCAGGAGTATGCCAGTATCCAACCACATTTGATCAAGTATGATTAAAAAAAAATATATGTGCCTTACAGGAAAAAAATTGTTTTACGACAATTTTTTATTAGAGACTAAGAGAGTTATGTATTTTCAGTTTTAATCATTATAAATATATACAAAATAAACTAGAAATACTATTGATTTTTTTAAACTTGTTTAGAATATTGACGAAACAGAACTTGATGATGACATCGAAAATACAATTAGTGAGCAACATGCTCTAGAAGAAAGTGATAGCCCATTCCGTGATTATTTTACGAAGATTTACAATGATAAAGTGGAAGATTGTGGCAGTTTTGCAGGTGCAGATTCTAATAAATTTATGGAGAATCCATATTATAATCCTGTTTACTTAAAACGCATGCTTACTTTATACTTATCTACGGCACCAATTTGGAGTAATTTAATGATGGGAAATTTAGCACGGTATGGTTATCGAGATTTGGAACCAATTGAACATTGTGGTTGTCATAACAGCCGAACTACTGGTATCTCAGAATCTCGAATGAAGGTAGTTAAAAATACTGTTCTGGGTGGTGAAGTATCTTCACGCATTGATCAAGTTGTGCAAAAGCTAGGTTCCAATATTCGACAAACTGAACTTAATTATTCCAATCATTATGTACTTAATTTGACTCGAAATCAATCTAAACGAGCAAAAAAAATATTAGCCGAAGAATCATGGAATAAACGTGGTCCACCACCACCAACAACGACTAGTATTTATTCGGAAAAACCGAAGGTATCTCTTGTTGCTCAATTGAAAAAAGTACTTAAACGAAAATCCAAAGCTGATGAACTAAATACTGGTAAGAGATTTCATTACATACGTGAGCTATATCTATACAATATCCATCTCGATAATAGAGTTAAAAATCTATCAATACAAAATCATAATCATATTAAAACAAAATATTTCAATTAAGTAATGAAGATTTCTATAAATGAAATGATACTATTTTAGTAGGAGAAAATAAGAGACTTTTATATATAAGAATAGATGGCGACGAATATAGTACAGTAAACTTTAGAATGTGGTTTCTGTAACGGAACGATTGATCGCTCGTACTTTATTTAACCGAATGAATGAATGAATGGATATGAATGAGCAACAACAGGGCCAAACGATCGAAAAAGAAAGCGAAAGCAGAAACAACGAAAGGCCAAATAATAGCAAGTGACCGATGTGTATGTACAGCGGGCACGTTCGGTCAAGAATATGTAAGAGGTAGTGATGGATGGAATCCATTAGTTTCGTTTTATGAAATTGAAAATACGGAATAAGAAGAATTTCAGTTAAGTTCTGTACATAACAGCGATCACAAGAAACTGTATACTAGTTTATTATATAGTTTATGATAATTCATTAAGAGAAACTTTTTTTAAAGGTATCTACAAGAATAGTTTTCAATCGAAACCTTATTCAATGCCTTCTGAACATCGTTTATGCTGGCTGAATTCATCGATTCAACTAATTTTATCAAATGATTTGTTCGTTGAAGCTATATCTACAAGTACATTTTTCAAATTACCAGCATACAACACACCTACAAATCAAATTTTAAATGTTTCTAACACACAACAAGATGATGATGATTTATTTAGGTTAGGGATGAACCTTTACACTTAATTTAAAATTAAGTTAAGTTTTTTACTTAACACTTAATATCAAATATTAAGTTTTTATTTAATTTTTAAAACTTAGTTTTAGAAATTAAATAAAAGCTTAAAACTTAATATTAAGTATTAAATAAAAAAGCTTAATAACGTGATTTTTTAATTAAGCGAAATTAAGTTTAAAGGTCTACGCCTGCTTTAGATTTCATACAAAACTCGAAAAAAACACCATTAATTTTATATGCTATGTAATAAAATCGCTGACTACTAAACCTGTCGGAATATTTGATATGCATAAATATATTCAAGATCTTCGTACAGATGGTCCGAAGAGTTACATCGTAAGCAAAAACGAATATATACCTGTTATTCGTCCTATGGGAGAATTAACATGCATTAAAGATTATATGTCACAAATTCTTTTGGATACCATTGCTTATTTTACCGATGCTCAAACAGTTTGTCATCATTTAATTTCTTGCTCACGGTGTCATAGTAAGAACATTATAACAACTGAACGCTTTCTTTTACTACCACTACTCATAAATGATTGTGAAGCCTTATTATTACCTAAGATTGCATTAAAAAATTATTTTCTTACGGAAAATAATAATAATAGCCAACCGTGCGATTCATGTGATGCCACATCAGAACAAAAACGCTTTCGTAAACAGATCGAACAATTGCCTGATACATTATTTATATCATTTAGTGAACGTAAAAATATAATAACTAGTAATAATCATACGAAATCAACAGAATTCTTTATTCAAAATCATCTAGATATGTCAATGTTTGCTTCTCAAGAAATGGTATGCTTTCCATCATATTTAAAATATCAACTGAAATCAGTTGTAATAAGTACTGATGATAAAGAAAATAATCGTCATTATTATACATTTGCGAAATATGGTGAACAGTTTTACCGTTGTGATGACAAGTTAATTGAACCAGTTGATAAGTCGGTGGTATTCGAAAGAAAATATTCAATTTCAATTGCTATGTACATGCGTGAAAAAAACAATCATGTCAATTTTGCTGAAACCATTCGTCAAATCTTATCTGAAACAGAAAATATTAATTTATGTGATCTGGCATATAATACACATATTAAAATGATGTTCGATGCTGCACTGGAATATGTTGTTGGTAATACCAAACTATTATCTTGGTGTTATGGTTCAGTTTATAAATGTTTACAATGTAAAGAGGGTAAATCTTTACAACTGTTTTACAAAACATTTTCATAATATGATGCCTTATTTTATTTGTAGAAAATCATCTATTTGGTAGTGATTGTATTTTGTTTTCAAGTGACGAGCACATATCGAAAGAGGAAGAAATATCTCTGGATGATACATTGATCCAGCCACGACTTACTCCAAAAATTCGATGTAAGAACCAATGTGAAGGATATACTTTTACAAAAGAAGCACGTTATTCAATACTTGCTATACCGCAGTTTGTTTTTGTTACTCTTACAACTAATTCGATACAGAATAAGACAAATACAACAACGACTAATACTTATAACACAAATATTCATGAGCAAATTTATATCAAGTGCGATTTAAAACAAAACAGCTTTACATATAATTTATATTGTTTTATCGTTGTCACCAAAGATGAACGAACTTTACTTGTGAAATGTATGGGAAACAATCAATACTCTGTATACAACACCGATACAAAAGGTTACGAATCCCTTGCAAATTATCAATTCGATGATTTTGTTGCAGCATCAGCTGCTAATATTGTACTTTGTTATGAAGCCAAAGATACTATTGATCTTAATGTGACGTTGACACCTACAACACTTGATATCAGTGAATGGACAATAATGCCAAGTTTCGACTTCAATAGTTCGGCTGCTCGTTTTGAAAAATACACGTCTTCGTTTAATCAGCCACTCAAAATTGGTCGATATCAATTAGAATTAACTGATGTTGCTGAACTCATAAAACCAACACACGAATTAAATGATAAACAATTAAATGCTCACTTGTATGTAACAACTACACTTTCGAATGACATTCTTTTATTCGATTCAATTCTGTTTACTCAATACTCTCATCGTGGATTCAGAAAAATTTCTGAAATATTAGATAATCAATGGTTTAAATTTAATACTGTACTAGTTCCTGTGCATCATATCAACCACTGGCTTTTATATATCATTGACGTTACAAACCAAACAATTCTTCGTTTTGATTCATTACCATCGACATCAACACCTTATGAAAAATATGAAAAAACAATTATTCAACTCATCCGAACACATTACTTCTACACACACAACAAGAAATTTAACATTTCGAAATGGAAACTTGTATCCCATGCCGATGTAAACAAGCAGGATGACAAAACATCGTGTGGCATTCGTTGCGGGCTTTTCGCACGATCTTACGTTACTCGAACCCAACACGAAAAAATCAAAAAAACAAATATTCGTAATTATCGTATGCAATTCGCACTTCAACTGCTCGATTACAAAAAACAATGAACAGTACCAAACTTCTTTTTTATCTCTTAAATTCAAACTTTTGTAGTTCATTATTGTCATTCAATGTTTTTATTCAATAGATAGTTTCAAGTAAACAGGCAAAAATTAAAACCAAAGAAACTTGCACCTCAACAGAACTATTCATTTAAACATTATTAAACAATTGTAGGTAATTACCCGCACAAATCTTTTGTCTTCATCATAGTTGAGATGTTGGTACTCATATATCCTATTAGATAATGTATATTTGTGCGACTTTTGCACTGAACTTTTCACAATGAGAACTTCCAATTCTATACGAACTCATCAAGATC